ATTTAGTGAAGAAACAACACCGCAAACACAAATGATAACGAGTAAGAAGAAGAGCAAGAGCTATGCCAAACTCATTGTATCGATATCTTTTGTCGCGGTGGTGCTCTTTACAAGTGTGATGATGTTGATGGAGAATCAAGATGATGATCTTGGTTATTACACTGTTCCCACATGATTCACCTCTCTTCTGTGGTCAGTTTAGTCCTAGTGCATTAGAGAGAATGGTAATTTAGTTTAATCCAATTTACTTGTCGGTTTTGTTTGTAATGTACTTCGTACAAGATGTAGAATCTTCTACTTGTTCTTCTCATTTTGTTTCTTATGCGAAATCTGTTGTATCAAACAATGTTTTAGGATAAATGTTTCAAAAAACCGACACACAATTATAAACTGTTTAAGTGCATATAGTTTCTTTCTACATATGAAATGTAAGATACACAAACGTTTTGATATTTAAATATCACCTCCCGCCGGAGAGTATAGAATCAACAATCGAAGATCCACCGGTAAACATGCGTGATGCAACGGTAAACATGTCTAACTCACTAAATCCGTGGTGGATTCCCAACATCATCCCTCTTCCATACAAGTCCAACGGCGTCAAATCTGGTAACATTGCATCTCCACTTAGATAATGTATCACCTGTCTCATCGATGGTCTAATATATGGCTCGGAGTGAGAGCACATCAAACCTAGTTTCAAAACCATTTCGACTTCTCTTTGGTCATACTCCGTCCCTAGATTCGGATCCTTAGCATCCAAGATGTTTCCCTCTATCCAAAACCTAAAAACCCAATCAACGATGAAAACTCTCTCACCACTTTCGTTCTGAATCTCGATAGGACGTCTCCCGCACGCCACTTCTAGTAGGAGCACCCCAACTGCAAAAACATCGGTAGCTGTTGTGGCATGTCCTGTCCTGACGTATTCGGGGGCCAGGTATCCCCATGTTCCAGCGACTCGTGTGGTTTGAGGATCTGATCCGTGACCGCACAACCGAGCTAAACCGAAATCTCCAAGTCTCCCATTGTACTCCGCGTCTAGCAAGACGTTGCTGGCTTTAATGTCGCGGTGAATGACCACTTGTTCCCATTCCTCGTGTAAGAAGAATAAGGCAGAGGCCACGCCATTGATGACTTTTATCCTCTGTTTCCAGCCGAGTGTTAACTCTGGAGTATTGTACAAATACTGGTCTAAGCTTCCATTGGGCATGTAATCGTACACCAGAATAAGTTCGTCTCTCCGGCGGCAATAACCCAAGAGAGGGACTAAGTTCCGGTGACTCATCCGACCAATGCTGACGATTTCAGACACAAACTCTTTCAACCCTTGTTTGGATTCATTGGAGACTCTTTTCACAGCGATCTCCTGCTGCGTCTTTGGCAGGACACCTTTGTAAACACTACCAAACCCGCCCGATCCGAGAAGGCCCTTCTCTTTGAACCCTTTGGTAGCGTAGTACAACTCCTTGAACTTCAATCGGTTTTTCTTGAAGTCTGTTTCCCAATCTTCGAGCTCCTCCGCGAACTTTCTCCTCCTCAACAAGATGAAGCGCACGAGGAAGATGAGCGAGGGGATAAACACGAGGGGAACCACAAATATGGAAATCGACAGCATCCAATTCTTGTAAAAGATGTCCCTTTCTTTGAACTTCGGAAGCTTCGGAAGTTTGGACAATGGCGGAGCTTTCCTGTTTACCCCGAAACTCCAACCAAGAACAAAATGTTCCGATAGAAAAGAACCGGTCGCAGAAGAGAAACCAACGAACATATCTTGCAAAAGAACCGAAGATAGATCTTTGACAATGGAAACAAGCGGTTTTGTAGGTTTGCTTTTTCTGAACGGAGCCAAAGACACGTTGATTTGATGTGTAAGGCCATCGTAATCAACCCAAACTTGCATCGGCTTACGACTCATCAAAGTCAGATTCTTGAATTGGCCTTTCTCGTCCCACCACCCAGCTGGCAAACTTTTCACCGACTCCAAACTATTGATATCGATTCCGACATGGTTATTGTTGGGATCATTGAACTCGAAATTCGAGATCGTGTCCAATTCGACAGCGAATACATGATTCGTTTCATTACCGTTGTTTGTGAAGTTGAAGAGACCGAGGTATTGGCCGCTAGTGGCAAATGGGAGGCTTGTGTTAGGAGCTACGACAAAGGCCATGCCATGGCCACTAAGTATTGGGAATGGTGAGTGAATAGCGAAGACGAAGGTTGTCGAGAAGGACGAAACAGAGCCGTTTGGAGAATCTTTAAACCGGATCGGTTTGTTATAGAAGGCGTGACCGGTTTTCTGCACGGTCATGTTGGTTAGCATCAACAGACCGTTACGTGTGACGGTGGCGAACCCTTGGACGGATATGTCAGGAAGTGGATGAGGGAAGCCATTGTAAGTGAAGTCGAGAATTTGGGAAGAGGAATAATGAAGGCATTGAGAGAGTATGATGAAGAAGAAGAGCTTCAAGTACATGGCTTTGGTTTAGATATTTGAGTTTATGAGAAACTAAAAAGACAAATTTATGGTGTGAAGAGAGTGTGGAAAAGGTCGTATTTTTGTTTTTCGTCAAAGAAGAATGTCACATTCATGGCAGAAACTCATAAAAGACTTCCGTGATGTAACCTGCAACACAAACAAGTTCATCCTTCACTGACAAAAAGTGTAGAAAAATCTTGAAAGGGAAAAGTCGTCACGACGTGTTTACCCGATTTATAATCTATGGTGGAAACTCATGCAAGTGTTTGTCAAGGATGATAGTAACAAGAATTTAATTCGAGTTCACCAATTGAACTTTCAAGTAAAAAAAGATACATATCATCCGAAAATCTTGCTAGAGAAGCTTTCTAATTTGCAGGTGTTAGCAAAATACATATAAACCTGGAAAATTTTGAACAAAAAAAAAACCTGGAAAGTTTCACCAGCAAGGCCTCTTGTCTTGGTATCTGTAAACAACTCTGTAAGAATGTCTGCGAATCATCATCAGCGCGGATGAGCACATCGCATTTGGATTGGATTGGATTGGACAGGAAAAGCGCCGACTTGTGCTTGTTTGTGTTTATCTCATGGGATCAACAGTTTTGTAGTCATGTTGTCTTCTGCGGCGACACCTGAATTGAGGTTTACTATCTGAGAATTTTGTATCACCAGACATCTCCATTGTTGAATTTGTATCTGCTCCAAATCAAAAACAATCTCCAATCACCAAGCAAATCAATATACCAAGAAGATACAAATACATTTTCAGACAAAGAACTAACATGATAATCCAATTCCACAATGTAGCTTATTTATAGTCTCCTCTAAAGGACTCTGTAAGCTCTGTGTAGCCAAAATTTGACAACTTAATGCTACATCCTAGAACTAGAAAGCAAAACCATGGACAAGAAGAGCAAAATCGGAACCGATAACATTACTCAATCAACTCCTAAGGATTCTATTAGTAACTTCGACATACTAGACCAACCATCTCCACATAGCTGATAGGTTCAAATCAATCTTGTACTAGTCTCCAAGCAGGACTAAAAGGCCAAAAATTGATCAAACCGAAGTATTTCATCTAAACCAGATCATATCTAATCAATGATCATTAGATCCTAAACCTTCATAGCAACTTCAGCTAAAGATTTGAAGAACATTCATAATTGCTAATCTCAAGATTGCTAAAAGTTTTCAAGAACTTTACCTCCCCAGAACAATGGCTTAA